TTTACGCGTATATCGTCTGGCAGTCGGACGATAGTGAAGTTCGTACACCTCGGACCACAGCTCTCATACACGGATGCCATCCAAGTGACAGATCCCCAAGCTGTTTCGGTGACATCGTGCTGGGTATATTCTTCCGTGCCCGGCTTCCTTCCCATGAGATATGTACCACGTTCATCATCCTGCAGAGTGCTGTTTTGTAGCTCAAGCTTCTCGCACGTTGCCTGGACACTCATAGTGCGGGAGCTAGCTACGTAGTTGATCCACGGATGCTTTGGATCGCGGTTGAAGAAGCGATAATGCCAGGCGTCGTCGCCTTTGTAGATGGGTGCGCCTTGTAAGCCGGATGGATCAGTGTCCATCTCCTCGATAGTCGTGAAAGGAAATTCGGGGTAGTCCATGGCCTGCGTACCGAACATCCAAGCCGTCTCAAGCGAGTTCTCAGTAAATCGAGGCTTGTCATAAATAAGCATGGGTGAGGTGTCGTTCACAGACCACCCATTCATATCGGCAACGATTACAGTTCCATAGGAAAAGAGGGGAATTTCTGAATTCTCCATTGGCCAGAACAGACTCAGTAATGCAACCAAGATCTGAGAGCCAATGTTGAGAGACAGCCAAGCTAGGCACGCAAGCCACATCCACTTGGTCCCATCATCTCTGACATCCTTGAACCAGCCAAACTTCCGTAGCCAAGTCTTGCCACGAAATCCAGGTGAGCTGAGGATCATCAACTTTGTGACTTTGGCAAGCGAGCTTAGGTGTAGTATGAGATCGAATACCTCCAGACTGACATATCGTCTAGTGAGGAAGGACCATCGAAACACGGAGGCGTAGTGCTTCAACGAGGCCAGGATGTTCAAACCCAGACACAGCGAGAGCCCAATGGTGAGCGAGTTGAAGATTCGAACATCGAGATTGGAAAGGACGATACGGCCGCGCCATCCTTCCCATGATTTGAGTGTGACACACATCGCTGCACTGAAGAACAGCGTCACGAGGAGCTTCATCGCTCCAGTTTTCAGGAGCGTCTTGCGGGCTTCACGGTGATCGAAACGCTTAACTCGATTGTGATGTTTGTGGTGGTAGGCTCCGTTTTCTACACTGAACGTAGAGCTGGGGGTACGGGGTGTATTCAGGGTGGTGTAGGCACCGCCTTTGGAGTCTATGACTTCGGGCGACAAGACCATCGGTGGTGAGTACGACGTATCGTCGGGTGCGTACGATTCATCGTGTCGCATCGCAATATCTCCACCGTCGTAACCTGGCGGTTCGGCTGAGCTCATCAATGGCGCATCATCGGAATGCCCACCACTGACTGTGCGGTTACGGTCCATCGCTTCTTGCCTCGCTTTCGAGAGAATGGGGTATCAGAGCTTTACCCCACAGCTGTGAAGGTGGGTTTGCGCAGCTCCAGATCTCGTACCCAGTCCGACGGGACGGTACAAGCGTTTTGGATGGATCTAGCCTAACTAAGTAGCGAGTAGGGCTGTATGCGTATTCGGCAGCGAAATCGGAATCACTGATATGGTAGTGGCCGTGGTTCCTGAGTATTTGAGGACGAACCAGAGCTATCGCGGGGTAGGTTTGCAAGGCTTCGCCTAGGGAAGTCGCAGGAGGTATGGTTGAAGGCAGAGGAGATGAGACAATTCCCATGGAGTGCACATGGCGTTCTTATCGCTCCCTCCCGACAAGTTCCCGCACGGCGATCCAGGAAGCATTGGTGGCTCTGGGGGCTGAAAGTTTGGGGGCCACAACAAGCGCAGCTGCAGGCCTCTTGAGCGGCACAAGACGGGCGAAGCAACTGGATAGTCCCGCGGAGAGGCAGAAGAAAAGATGAAAAGAGGTATCAGGATGTAATAATAGAAGTTGGAACAGTCGTTCTGCTACTTACCATGCGCCTATCGTGAAGCAGCCCCCGATACAGAAGCGTGATCCAGCTCATGACTTCTTCGTCTTGCATTCTGCCGAGCAAAAGGCTGAGCCTTACACTAGAGCCAATGATTGTAGGGATCAGTAGTCCTATTGTTAGCTTCAGCAGCCTGTTGAGTGCGCATCGTTTTATCGAGGCGCATCTAGCCTTGTGAGTGTGCAGGTGGCCTGAAGCCACGAGGGGGCTGAACTCCCCATTCGCCTAGGATGCAACAGCGGGAAGCTACTTGAGTAGCGCGGCATGGCGGAAAGCGCAAGGCGGAAAGCTTTTAGTATGTCGCAGAATACGATTGAACTCGGGTATGCACTTATGGAAATTACGCGAGGGTGTATGAAGCTTGAATAAGTATTGTTGTGGATGTTGTTGTATTCGACGCGACTGCCCGGGTGGGAAGGAGTACCTGAGCTTCGGCCGCGGCTCGCTCGCTTGACGTCTCTGTCAGCTTGCACCCATGCGAGTACTCACCAATCTCCGAACTGCTCACAGACATTACAATCGTTCTGTACTGCTTTGTACAACGACTCCGTCATCACGAGGCTACAGCGAGGTTGGATTAGTGATGATCCGCGCGCGAGAGAGCTTCAAGCCAACTAGCTTCATATATTCCCCACATGGAACTACCGGCCGATTACAAATGACTGTGGAGAAGATAGCTTGAAGGGCGCAATGTCAACTGACCTCAAACATCTACTTTTTGTCGTATTTATCCTCGTCTTGCTCGCAGCTATCGATCATCACAGTTAAGCAACAATGTCGTCGTCAAAGGTAATCCTGTTTGACCTCCCTAGCAGAGACGGCGCCGCGTGGTCGTTGAACCCATGGAAGAGTACGTTTTATTTTCACTTTAACTATGATACGTCAGAAACACTAACAAGCTTGCAGCTCGTATGGTCTTGAACTACAAGAAGATTGACTACACGACCGAATGGGTGGAATATCCCGATCTCATGCCCAAGCTCAAATCCCTCGGCATTCCCCCGAACCCCAAGGACGCACCTGGTTATTTCACCGACTACAGCAGTCCTGCTATCAAGCATGCAGACGGCACCTACCAAATGGACTCATGGCCTATTGCTCTCGAGCTCGAGAAGCAGCACCCGAGCCCTTCTTTACACTTCGACGATCCGATTGTTGTGAAGATCAGGGACCTCCAACCCAATTTGATGGATCCGCTCAGATCCCTAATTATCCCTCGGGTGCCAGTAGCATTCTTGAACAAGCCAAGTGCTGATTACTTCTACAAGACGAGGCAGGAGTTGTTCGGGAAGCCGCTGGAACAAGTAGAAAAGGATGCTGATGCTGAGGAGTGCTGGGAGAAGGCTAAAGCGCCAGCGAAGGAGATGGGCGATCTGCTGAGAAAGAGCGGTGGCCCGTATTTCCTTGGTCAGACTGGTAAGTGAACACCACTTCAGTGGAAGATTTGAATTATGCAATGCTAATCAGAAAGCAGTGTCTTATGCAGACTTCATTCTTGTGTCAATGATGCATTTCATCAAGCGCGTAAGCGAGGATCATTTCAAGAAGCTTATGTCTCTTGATGATGCCTTCCCAAAGCTCTTCGAGGCGAGCAAGCAGTGGTTGGAGAGAGAAGATTAGTTCGTCCTTTGCACGTGGCTTGGAGGACTAGTCGACTCAGTCTAGATTCCCAACAAGTACCTTGGCCTTGCGCAACACTTCTCGATCTGTCTCATAGAACAGCAACTCTTCAGCATCAGGATACGAGAACAAGCCTGTCTCAACCCCCTCTTCACCAGACCCCTTTGTTTCACCAGCACTTTCATACATTATCGCAATATACCACCAAATAATCTTGACACCCTGACCCTCTCTCACAGTTCTGACAGTAACCATGAAAGGCTCCACTGAATTGTGTAACGTGCGCGGCACATCAGGAGCATCCGCTGCATCACCTACAACAGGCGTTCTAGCAACCATGTCCACAGGCAGGATATGACATCTATACCCAGTTTCCTCGTACACCTCGCGCAGTGCGGCCTCCCGATGCGCTTCTCCGACGTTTCGCCGTCCTTTCGGTAGTACCCACATATTTGATTGAGCGAGGTGGATGAGACAAATCTTCTGGCGAGTGGGATCGTGGGCAATGGCGCCGCAGCTCTCGATGAAGTTTTCCGAGGTATATTGGCGTGTCGGACAGGGCGATTGCGCCATGTTGTGTGTGTTTGAAGATACACCTGGTGTGGATGGTGAGAAAGTGAATCGTGGAGGTGCATGATTGACGCCTAAACTGTAGCTTGTTGGTAGTCGCGTCGGACCAATGAAATCATGGTCAGCGTAAGGATGCAAAGAACCTCGTATTCGGTGACTCCAATACTCTAGTACAAATTCTACTAGCAAATTGCCGCAAGTAGAAGGTCCGATAAGGCTAGCCTATGACTCCCAGCCTCGAGTAACCTACCTGTCGTGAGTAGGGCGTGGTGCTCTAAAACATGGAAATATCTCTAGACTTGGCTCGACATCGCTTCTTTGTACCACTTTCAACATGCCATCTACCCAAGATATCGTCATACGTCCAGTTCCCTTCGACCATCCAGATAGCGTTCAACTCCGTACCACCCAACAAGCCGAGTTAACTGCTCAATGGGGTCCAGATTACTGTGATCTACCATCAGCTGCTGACGTTGCAGTCTTTCTTATTGCATATCACGACGACAAACCAGTAGGATGCGGTGGCCTACGTCCTCTTTCTTCAGCTTCGGAAAATGCACGCAAGAGTTCCGCTGAGATAAAACGGATGTTTGTTGCCCCAGCATACCGGGGCCGATTGTGCGGGGATGACGGGGCGCGCACTTCGGTTGCGCAGCTGATACTTGAACAGCTGGAAGGCGAATCACGTAAAAGAGGATTGCCGTGGTTGTTACTGGAGACAGGCGTCGATATGACAACGGCGAGGCGTTTTTATGAGAGATGCGGATTCGCCCAGCGGGGGATGTTTGGGAAATATTCGGAGGCTGAGGCGAGTGTTTGCTATGAAAAGTGGCTTGGTGGTTCTGTGTCGTGATTCTGGCCTGGCGGAGATGCTAATTTGGAGAGAAGAAAAATTGCTTCTTGCTTAAATGTGTTCTCCGCGAACAGACAATGGCAAATGGGTCCTCTCCAGAATATATACAAAATTGCCCACCTTTGGTCTGTGTGTTACCGCATCGTTGGTCCTCTCGTTCCGTACTTGCCAGTCATTGTCCTCAATCTCGCGCTTCTCCACTAGATGCCACAGATCAGCTGGATGTGGGAAAGCTACATCTTGGGGTATCACGTCCTTTGCGGACGCATCCAGGAAATAGAAACGATCGCTTGAATAAGACAGAGCGATCCAGCGCGCCCCAGGTTTTGTCACGAGCGCTAAATTCACAGCCATGACGACCAAAGGATGAATAAGTTCCGGAGACTTGGCGGGATCCAAATGGAGGGGTTCATAGGATCGAACTGCTAGCGGATACGGTGAAGGAACAAGGACGTCGTCTGCACAGGCAATGGAGTCGGATGTTGACTTATCAACTATAACCGAATAGGTAGCGCGCTTGCATACACGCATCACAGACTTGTAGTCGAGCAGATCTACAGCGTCCCAGCGCATGCACGCGACATTGGCCCTCGGATCCTGGTATATCTCCTGTTCGCGGATCTTGCCAACCTCAATGGCAACTTCCGAGTAGTCCAAGTTGTGTATCTGTTGCGGGCTGTCTACATGAGCGCGCAAATGGTAGGATAGCAGCGAGGTGCCGCAACCTATGTGAACAAGTTGGGGCTTGGGCGTGGGCGTAGCGTCTAAAGAATCGACAATGTAGGGATCCAGGACATTGGGAGCCTCGAGCCATTCAAAAGGATCCGTGTTGGAAGCGAAGCGATGATTCCAGTACGCTTGCGACCCGAACGAGGGCGGTTGCTTAGAAGGCATTGCGACCTGGGACACACTGGCGTCAATACTACTCTGCGATTAGTCGTCGTCTCTCCACTAACAGATCGAAGGTGAGTTGCAGCCGAAGCGCGTGTACACGCGCGATATGAGTGAAAAGGGGCTTGTTGCCGTGAGGAAAGAAGTGAGGAGAGGCGATGATGCCCAAACGATTAATTGAAGGTATGCGCCGGCCCGAGCTTTCTCCGGCAACTGAAGATCTTCATCCCATGGTTCTGCGGACTCCCGAGACGACGAGCATCACCACCCACAGCCATGGCCACCCTCCAATCGATACCGCGCTTCCTCCTTCCCCGGGGCCCGCTGCTCCTGCGACCTCAAGCCCGCGCCTTCCTCCCACTGCCCTCACCCACCAGTGTCCGCCATGCCTCCATTACCCCCAAGGGCCTGTCAGAAGAGTTCCGGAGACGGCGAGAAGCACAGCAGCAGAGGGGAGCGCCCGTAATACCGCAGCCCGACAAGTACCGACCGCCGTCACACAGCAAGCGAGCCCCGAACCGGAATCTGGAGAACAAGATCTATGGCGCGCCCGTATCGGAAGAAGACAAGAAGCGCATGGCATCCAAGAAATACCCCAATATGATGAGTCCAGAGGGCACCTTCTCGCATTGGTTCCTCCACAATCGGGCAATTCATCTGTGGATCACAATGGTAGCGCTCCCTCCAACACCCCGCCTGATTGTCCAAACGTCCCCCCAGGCTAACCCCACTTTGTTCAACAGGGCATACTCGTCTCCCTCGCCATAGCCGCATGGTACATGGACTTCATCTCCAAGACTGTCTTCGGCCACTTGCTTCCTACACGCAAAGACTTTGTCCGCCACCCCTTCGAATCCACCTCGCGCTTCATTGAAGTCTACAAGATGCACATGGCGCAGACGTCGCAGCAGTACCAGCAGCAGAGGCTGCAGAAGGCCGAAGAGGTTGAGAAGAGGAAGCAGTTCCGATTGGAGAGAAAGAGGGAGGCTGAGGAGAGGGGCGAGGAGTATGTCGAGGACCCGAGGTATTACGTTGGTGAGGATGGTATCAGGAGGAGGAGGGTGAAGAAGTGGTTCGGCATCTGGGAGTGAGGTTGTCTTTGGGCGAATCATTCTGATCACTGAAAAGTACACCAGCGACAGGTCTAGTGGCGAAGATTGGACCGTATCGTATTCGAGGACAGTGTAGGATATGAGTCATGTGCGACAACAAGTCGTAGGACCGTGATGACAGGAGAAGTCAACAAGCCAATGTTCAAAATCTCAACTTCGTTGTTGAACTTTGGGCTATCGTTGTAACGAGACGTGTACATGGAAGTATGTATATTAGAGATTTTGATCTCATCTATCAACAGGAATGAGAAATCAGGCACATCTCCTAGCAGTTCAGCAACAATAATGCTGCGCATTCCAAAGAGATGCCTAGACTGCTACGATAATCTATCAATCCCACCTCTCCTTTCTTCTTCCCTCCTGCCAACCCAGACATCATCATCTGGCGCCATACCCCTCTCTACTCCTTCCAGCCCACACAACCCATCGACTTCCTCAGGTACCTTCCAACCCCTCATCTCTTGCGTCCTAGTGGCAAACACCATCATCAAGCCAGCCTCGGTATGCCAGCCTATATGGCAATGAAACGCCCACATGCCTGGATTATCCGCCACAAATGATATCAACAGCCACCCGTATCCTTCTACACTTGCCGTATCCCTCCGCAGCGGATTAGTCAGATTGAGATGACTTCCAACATAGTCGGGTTCGAGAAGGGAAGAAGGTGGATACCCGTGTCCCTGAGCGAGGACGAAGAACTTGTAGCCATGGAGATGGAAGGGGTGGTTTCCGTCGTCTAGATTCTGTATGAGGATCGTTATGGTCCGCGTCGATTGCGTCTGGTAAATGAGTTGGTGCAAAGGGTCAAACGTGTCCGTGTCTAGAATTCTTTCGTGAACACTCGACTCGACGGTCCGTGTCGAAAGCATGGTGTTTAGGATCGGCGAGGTAGCATTTGTGCGAAAAGAACTATCGTTCAAATAGCCTCGCGAGAGTCTCCAATCCCCGATCTGGAACGAGGAGCGGAGGTAGAGGGCGTATTGAGTATCAATCTCCGGTGGTGCTATTGCGATGACAGGCTCCAGAGTCGAAGTGTTCAGGTCCCGACATTCGACATCGATAATCTCAGGCCAATCCTTGCTCTTTGGTACAAGATCCTTCGTTTCACTATCCGTTGTAGGATAGTATAGTATACCCCTAACTTCTTCTTGCAATTCCGGCTCTTCATACGCAAAACAGTGCGTCACCATCCTCGCACGCATCCAATACGCCTCTTTGTTCCCATCCTCACTGGGTGGAGTGAGGACTATACTGTACCGCTGCGCAGGGTTGATGTTCAGCCGATGAACTGATTGAGGGTACACATCCGTGCCATCTACTTCTGTGACCTGGAACTCATGTTCGTCAATTTGCAAGGCAAATTCTGCAAAAGCCCCAACGTTGATAATGCGAAGTCGTGTATTGCTCGTGCGCGACAAGCTAAACAAAGCATTGCTAATGCCAGATGATGAACAGTTTCGATTCGGTAAATCGGCGCAGTCTCGCACGTTTCGTCCGTTGATCAGGGCAGATGGGGGAACAGGCTCATCGTTCTCACTGCCGGGGGAGAGGTACTGCATGAGTAGGTCGGAGGACAGATCATAGTAGAAGTCCGACAGTAGAATTACGCGGTCCTGTTCATACGGTACCTTCTGCAATTCCATCTTCTCTTCTCCGTCCCGGGCGTGTATGATGAGCGGTCCCACGAGTCCATCTGACGCTTGCATGCTAACGTGCGAATGGTACCAGTACGTTCCTGTTTGCCCTGTTACATTGAACCGGTATGTTAATGAATGACCTGGGGCAATCGGACACTGCGTGACTCCCACTGTTCCATCCATCCAGTTTGTGCCGTTCTGGTAGAGACCGTGCCAGTGGATAGATGTGGCATTGGTGGCTTGGTTGCGGACATGGACAACAAGCTCATCGCCTTCGTTGCACTCGATCAGAGGCCCAGGAAAGGTGCCATTGATGAGTATCATAGGGCGATACACTCCGTCAGGATTGAGAATGTGGTCGGTTACTTCCCAAGTATACTCCCGGGTCGTGGGTGGAGCGTTAAAATCCCATCCTGAAGAGAGTATGTAGTCTTCTTCCGGTCGAAGTCTTGCAAGACTAGAGGTAGTGGATGGCGAAGCAGTGTGCTCGCTGCCGGTTAGTCCTCGGTGCACCAAGACGATAATTGTGGAAATGAGGAGAAAAACAACGGTGGTGACTCTGATCCATGGCCGCCGAGGTTTGTGGTGCTGTGCGGTTTCGTGCTTATCGGTCCAGCGCGGTCCCCGATCATCTTCTGTGTGTTCGCTATCGTCGTCGGTAGATGCATGTAGCAAGCCAACTTGCTCCTCGGGCTCACGTGCGTTCGAATTAGACATGTCTCTCATGCCAAAGCTTTGGTCTCGGCCCATCGCGGCTAGCTTCCACAGTCCTTCATCAATTCCCGGCCAGTCTCATAAGAGCGTCACACAGTGTTCGTGTAGCTGTAATCTCTTCTATGTTTGATGTCACTGCCCTCAAATCCCTGATCGTCCCTGTAAGTTGGTGGCAACCGTCACTACCTGTCATCTCATCCAGGGAGCCTGTGAATGCCATCGCCACCATCAGAACAGCCGCTGCACGAGTGCAGGAGATCATCCCGCCACGCCGCTTTATCTGCAGCGTGGTCATGTCCTGTGTCCGCGGGTCGTGCCATCAATCAACGCAGATTTGCCGAGTTCGACCTTGCCCAGGGTGTGTGTCCAATCAACTTCGCACGTTGATCTCGCGAACCCATCCAAAGCTTGTCCACCTTCCCGAAAAGCTTAACCTCCCGCATTCAGTGCATCGATGTGCGAAGTACCTGTTCCAATAGTGTGCACATGTGCGATACACATACCGCAATTGGTGGGAATGTGGCAGCTTTGCTGCAGTTAGTTTTCGCGAGGTGTCCAGACCCTTTGGATACTAACAAAAGCGGCATCCCATGGCCCTGACAGATGGTATGAAAAGCCCGCTGGCAGATGGCATGCGTGTCTGCCTGCTGTCATTTCATTTGGGTGTCTCTTTGTTGTTGCTGTGACGTTCTTTGGTAAGAAGCCATCGAAAAAGTGCATCACCACCAACACTAACTGGATTGTCAGCGTGGTTAAACCATCATGATTACTCCCTTCGTTTTATCACTAGCATTGCTAGCGAACCTCAGCCCAGTACATGCTATAGTCAAAGGCAAGGCATTCGACCGTATTGCCATAATATGGCTTGAAAACACCGACTACGACCTCGCAGCAGGGGATCCGAACCTAGCATGGCTCGCAAAGAAAGGCATCAGCCTTACGAACTACTTTGCTGTAACCCACCCTTCTATGCCCAACTACGCCGCATCGATATCGGGCGACTACTATGGCATCAACCACGACGACATGGTTGCGATTCCCTCCAACGTATCCACATTGGTAGACCTCCTCGAAGACAAAGGTGTGAGCTGGGGCGAGTACCAAGAAGACATGCCGTCGGTTGGCTTCCAAGGAAAATCCTACACGAACCCTAAAACTGGAGCCAACATGTACGTCCGCAAGCATAACCCAGCCGTGCTGTACGATTCGGTAGCGCAGAAGACGGACAGATTGGCCAAGACGAAGCCTCTGACCATGTTCAAGCAAGACATGGACAAGAACCAATTGCCGCAGTGGATGTTCGTTACACCCAACATGACAAGCGATGGTGAGTATCCCCAAAGCACGGTATATTCATTCGGAAACATACTCACGGTGTACAGGACACGACACTACCGTGACTGTAGCAGGAACTTGGACGCGGAAATTCCTCGAACCCCTCCTCACCAACAAGAACTTCATGAACAACACACTTGTCATGGTAACTTTCGACGAGAACCACACCTACGGCAAACAGAACCGCGTCGTAAGCATCCTTCTC